GGTCCTTCAAGGGCTCCAGGATGGCTGGAAAAGCCCTACAGTAGGAGATCACCTGGGTTTGAGGGTGGCCAGCAGAAATTTCATTACGTAGTTTTAGTGCTGATGCAGGAAAGCATCTCAGTAGCTTCTCTGCTCATCTACAGTATTTAGGCAGGATTTCATTCTCGTCCCTCAGGTGCTCCAGAATGCCCTACGTACACAATCAAATTATTTGAGCTTTACTGGGAGAGAAGATTGGATTAGCAGCTAAACAAGCCAGACCAGGTTATACATTTCTGTGCAGTTTTATTTTCTTCCCTACCACCACAGGGATACGTGTAAGGCAGCATAGATATATATCTATATAGATATATAGATATATAGATATATATATACAGCAGCCTTACAAGGAGATCTTCTTATAATGGCTACAAATTTCTTAAGTGTAAACATTTTTATTTGACATCTGATAAAGGAGTCAGAGGTGAAAGGCACACGCAGAGCTTCTCGTTCCTTCTGACAGGACAGTCAGGAAACAGCATTTTTCTGAGACTCCCAATGACGAATTAGTGCTTGTTTCCATTTAGCCCAGCTTCAGCTGGTCTGAATATATCCTATTTACAAGTGCCCTGAGATTAGTTCAAGTTGCTCCAGACTTCAGGGTGCTGACGTTGGAGGAGATAAACAGAAGCAATTTGCTGATTCACCATAACAATTTTCATAAAATATGAGTCAGGATTTTCTTCTTTCATGTAACGATGAAATTAGGTTAGCATGCTTTGCTGAGCACTTAGCTCTACTATGTGTGTTCCCAGTAGCATCTAATGTTCCTGCAGTGTATTTTTGGAAGTATAACCAGATTTATGAGGCCACATCTTCTGTTTCCCTTGGCTTCCCAATAAACTGACATTCACCGCTCTCTGTCTTGAATTAGAAATCTGTTCTTTACTCCAAGTAAAGAACATGATACCAAGTGGATTTCCTGCAGCTCTCACCTGTTGGACTATTAAACCTCCATTTAAATTCTGTGCTTACGTGGGCTTCTCCAAAATGGGACAGTGGAGCAGAGTTAGCTGAATATCCCAGAAGCTGCACTCAAATTACGGAGTAGGGAGACACCTCTTTCCTCAGATTGCTTCTTCATCTTGGAGCAGATGAACCTTTCAGGTGGGACCTTGCACATGAGTTACCCTTTCAACATGTCTCACGGTGTGTCCGTCACCGCGTCGGCAAACCTTCCTCTCCTGGGGATTCTGACAGTGCCTTTCTGTTTTCCCACACTTGAAGAAGCCATTTCAGATTGAAGTAGTTACTGCAGAAGATGACATCAGCATTTAAATAGATTTCCTGAGGAAATGTTTTAATGGTCGTTTTTATAGCTTATTTTGCGCTTTTTAACTTTTTCCTCTCTCGCCAAAGGTCAAGGAATTATTTCATACAGACCAGAGCTTGAGCATCAGTACAGGAAAAGAGCTAATTCTGACTAATCTCATGGTTTTGATTGTTTTGATTTTTTTTTCATTCTGAGCACTAATGGCAGAAGAAAAAAGTGAATTGTATTCTGTCTTCAGAGAGACCTTTTTGGATGAATGAAAGCATTCTTCACTTCTAGGTTCAGGCAGTAAATAAACTTAACAAGTCTCTTCACATTTAAGAGTGAAACTACATAAAAGGTGGCAGGAGCTATAAAAGCTCTGACCTCAGCGGGCTTCTCTCCTTCCACTCCCTTTAAGAGAAATTTGCACATCCAAGTAGTTCTCAGTACTTTTGCTCGGTAAGATCCCATTATCCTTCTCTGGCTACTAAATGGAAACAACAGGCAGGGACAGTAGGAATTCCTTCTGAAATCTGGCCGTGAGCTCAACGCAAGGTGCCGGGTGATGAGAGGAAGAGCTTACAGTGTTCTGACAGTCGTGCGTGCAGTCTGCTGCCTTCACCCTGGCAGGCTGGAAAGGAAAATTTCTTATGGTTGCGTTTCTCTTTTTGTGTGTGTGTGCGTGCAAAAGTGAATGCCCAGTTAATGTGGAACGTGCTGTTCCCCTTCTCCCCCATGTTGTCTCAGAAGCATACACTTAAAAGTAAGGCCATAGTGATTTTTTTTTTTTTTCTTAGATGATAGAATCGTAGAATCATAGAATGGTTCAGGTTGGAAGGGACCTTAAAGATCATCCAGTTCCAACCCCCCTGCCCTGGGCAGGGACACCTCCCACCACACCAGGTTGCTCCAAGCCCCCTCCAACCTGGCCTTGAACCCCTCCAGGGATGGGGCAGCCACAGCTTCTCTGGGCAACCTGGGCCAGGGTCTCACCACCCTCACTGTAAAGAATTTCTTTCTAGTATTTAATCTAAATCTTCCCTCTTTCAGTTTGAAACCATTACCCCTCATCCTATCACTCCCCTCCCTGATAAAGAGTGCCTCCCCGTCTCTCCTGTAGGCCCCCTTCAGGTACTGGAAGGCTGTTATAAAGGATGATTTCCTTTGAGACAGAATATTCATCATTCATGACATGAAATTCTAGAGTTTTGAAGGAAAGCGTAGTCCTGCAATGGAATTTTCCAAAGGTAAAGACGATTTTCTTCCACCTCGCTGAACTGCAGAGCAGAGAGCTCAATGCGCAGGATATCTCAGATCTAAAATACACGTGAGAATTGGGGAAGTGTAGATCAGGATCTGACCTTTACAGTTTCAGGCTTGGTAATCTCCAGCATTTTGCAAGTGCCTTTATTGCTATCACAGTTTGAACTCGTTCTGCGCATCGAAATCCCTATGAAATTTGATAAAATCTGAAAGTAGGGCTGGGCCCCATCTTCGCGGTTGAGGATTTAGGTGCTGTTATTCTAGCAAAACACGACCTTGCATTAAGTTATCCACTGCATGCTATGGACCTTGAGCTTTGCATTCATAAAATACGATAAAGGGCACAGTTCCAAGCCTCCGTGAAAAATTGGCTGTGCTTCTAAAATTTTATTCAGCAAGAAATCAGTGCTGTGCGTCACTGGTCAAAAGATGACTAAGCTCTGGTTATAAATGATATAAGTGATAAGGATTTACAGCCAGATTATCCCACTTTTTATTCCTATTGAATACTACCTTACTCCTTAACCAATGAATTAGAGATAAGCGAATCTTTAAACTAGGTGTTTGCTCAAAAGCTTTGCTGACTAGAAATGTATTTATGTGTATGTTAAGTGCTTTCTTGAATTAGGGCCAAAGCAGGAGGAGGCAGCAGGAATCCAGGCTTTAGAGAGCGTTTCTTGTACATCACATTGGCAGAGGAGACCTGGCCTCTGAGGTTACCTTTAAAATCCTCATTTCCAAAACAAACAAAGTTCTCTGGGTGAAATCCCGGCTTTACTCAGCTCAGAAGCGAAAGTCCCAGCAGACCTCAGTGGCCCCAGGATGTCATCGTACAGATGTCCTTCTCCTTCATTCCCTCTCCTGCCACTTTTCAGCAGGTTGAAAAATATGTTGCTGCCAGCCCTGTGCTCACGTCCCTGGCCAGCCAGTGGCCGTTCACAGCGGCCCGGTGACATCACGATGGCACAGATTTACATCCGCCTCCCCGAAAATGCGCAAAGAGGCAAAGGCACGATTCCAAGAAAATCTAGTTCTCCCTGCCTGACATTAAATTAGGTTTATCAGCCATCAAACATAAGCTTTTCTCCATACATTAAACACTATTCCCTTACCTATCTGTGCCATGGTGCTGGCAATTACTTAGTGATATAGCCTGAAAAAAAAACCCAGAAAGATACATAGCTTTTACTTAGCAATTTCCTGTTTTCGAAGTGCAGTAGGACCATTAACTAATTAATTTTCCCAATTAATCACTCCATAGCTCCATACAGTGGGTGGGCAGAGCTGTGGGGTTCATCCTGGCACAGGGTGAGTGTGCGCACTCCTGTCCCGTTCATCCCTCCAGCAGCGTGTGGCTCGTTCAGGGCCACTGGCCTCCAACTCGCCTGCAGTGGCCCCGAAACACGCAGCTGGAATTGGTTCATGTTTGGAGTTTATGAGGGTTTGGGAAGTTACAAAAAACCTCATCACCTTTTTTTTTTTTCTTTTGGTAGCTAAAAACATAAACTGATATAATAATAAATCATAAGTAATTTTAAAAAATAAACTAAGATAATAATATCAACTCATTTAAACCTAAATACTTTTGACAACTGGGAATATAAAGTAATACAAACTAACTTGGTGTCTATGATATAAAATGAAGTTGGCCCATGAGCGGATTCTTTAATCGTGAAGTGCTTTGTAATTGCTGCCAATTGCTTTATCACCGGAGTCATAAACCTGTTCTCAAGAGGAAAGGGACACTGAAGATGTTTTTAAGGGCCCTAAAGAATAACAGCTGCTTTGGGGATTTTTATATTTTAAAAGGGCCTTATTTCATTGCTGCAGATTCTTTTGAGAGAAAAGGTTAAAATCTTGCTTTGGTGTAATACCCAAGAGCCAGCCTAGAAGTGTCTGGGTGCTGTAAGTTAAAGTACAGACACAGCTATTTAAAGTTATTATATATATTTGCCTGTGATAAAATGCAGCTTAAAATACTTTCATAACCTTTTTTTGCCAAGTTATGCTCATTGTTATGAGTCACCATAGTACTAAATCTGCACTTTTTTTCAAAAATAATCATGGCTTACCCAGTTGGCATAGTTTCTCAGAACAGTAAATGATCTCTCATCTTAGTTCTGAGTAGTGGCAAAAAGCAAACTTAGGTGCTGTACGACAGCAAATGTAAGGAATTTAGTATGATAGGGGAATGGAAATGGCCAAAAAAAGGCACAAATGCCATAACCTCATCCCGTGCAGGGTTGTGTTCCATCCAGCCAGTTAAGTAATTGATCAAATATAATAAATTTGAGAAGCCTACAGTTGGAAAGCCTGGTTTTCTAAATCTGCCATTTAAAAGTAGAACCGAGGCGGTGATGTCACACGTGGCACATAAAGGAGCGTATGGAATGTGTGTAGAGGGACTGTCTCCTAGCAAAGCCGCAGCAGAGGGAGGTCCGGGTCCCACAGCTGGAGGCCATACAGCAGCAGAGCACCCCTGCACTCTAGGAGGACAGAATTCGGAGGTTCGAGCGACCAAACTGCAGGTGCTGGTGCTCACGTCACTGATTTCTTGCCTGAGTTTAGCTAAATCACCTTAAGCCTTCTATTTGCACCCCTGAAACTTCAGATTTCCTCTTGCGAGGTGTGTATATATGTATTACGTATGTCTATTTCCAAGCACAAACACAGGTTGGGCAGAGAATGGCTGGAGAGCAGCCCTGAGGAGAGGGACTTGGGGATGGTGGTGGGTGAGAAGCTCAACATGACCTGGCGATGTGCGCTGGCAGCCCAGAAAGCCAACCACATCCTGGGCTGCATTGAAAACAGCGTGGCCAGCAGGGCCAGGGGGACGGATTCTGCCCCTCTGCTCTGCTCTGGTGAGACCTCACCTGGAGCACTGCATCCAGCTCCAACGTTAGAAGGACATGGACCTGTTTGAGTGAGTCCAGAGGAGGCCACGAGGATGCTCAGAGGGCTGGAGCCCCTCTGCTGTGAGGACAGGCTGAGAGGGTTGGGGTTCTTCAGCCTGGAGAAGAGAAGGCTGCGGGGAGACTTTACAGAAGGGGGCCTACAAGAAAGCTGGAGAGGGGCTTTTTACAAGGGCGTGTAGTGATAGGACAAGGGGTGATGGCTTCAAACTGAAAGAGAGGAGATTTAGATTAGACATTGGGAACAAATTAATTATTACGAGGGTAGCGAGACGCTGGAACAGGCTGCCCAGAGAAGCTGTGGCTGCCCCATCCCTGGAGGGGTTCAAGGCCAGGTTGGAGGGGGCTTGGAGCAACCTGGTCTGGTGGGAGGTGTCCCTGCCCAGGGCAGGGGGTTGGAACCGGATGATCTTTCAGGTCCCTTCCAACCCAAACCACTCTGTGACTCTGTGATACATGTATTAATGTATAAATATAGCTATTTCCAGTGTACAGCCAGGTGAGGGTCCGACCTCGGTGCTCCCGTAATGGTGACCCCCAAACCACCAGCTTTTCATGCAGGAAGGATCTCAAAACCAACAAAGTTTTATTCTGGCCTTGTTTGGTGTTAATGAGCGGAGAAATGGGGTCACTGGAGGCTGAAACCGCCTGAACCCAGGGACCTTCCTTCCCTTGGGCGCTGGGTTGGTGGGACCTCTGACGCCCCAGAGTGGAAGGGACAGGCCGAAGCGACCCCCGTGTGCGCAGGAATCGGTTAAATACAAGGGATTAAGGGTTAAACACCGCTCCGTTTGTGTCTCGGGCCTCCCTGTCCCCGGCCGAGCCTCGCCCCCCGCCGCGGGCCTGGCGGAGGCCTTGATGGAGCGGGCGAAGTCGGGGGGACCGGGGGGGGGGGGGTCGCG